GACTATAGACCATCCGGCGGAGACTGTAGACCATCCGGCGGAGGCTCCACTGGGTACCAGGAGGGAACGACCCAGTGAAGCCAGGAGGGCGGCGCAGCCAGATCTCCTCGTGCAGAGTGCCCTGCAAGAAAGCTGTGCTGAAGTCAAGAGAGTGAAGCTCGTAGTCGCGCTGAGCAGCAACGTGCAGTAGTACCCAAAGAGTGGTCATCTTCGGGGTGGGGGAGAAGGTCTGGAAGAAGTCTACTCCCTCTTGCTGACTGAAGCCTCGAGCAACGTAACGAGCCTTGAAGACAGGCGGAGAACCCGGCGGCCGCTTCACCCTTCGTTGGAGCTGCTGCTGGTGCCAGTGACAGCAGTGGCCAGGAGACGCGTAACAGTAGGACTGGTAGCACGAAGAAAGTCAGACTCAAGGTCAGCAAGAGCAGGAAGAGAGGACTAAGGAGGAGACGGTAGAGGGAGAGGATGTGGAGCAGTGGAGCGACGTAGTGACATCCGGTGTGTGCCAGGGACGAGTGGCGGACGCTCACGCGGAGTACGGCGACTGGTGGAAGTAGTACGAACAGGGGACTCAAGATGGGACACAGGTGACACAGGGCAAGACTCAGGCTGACGACGTTTTGTGAGACCACCTGTAGGACCAGTGTAGGGAGAAGGACGAGGAACTGGCGAGGCAGGCGGTAGCTGTCACTGCGACTGGACTGGCGGTGGACACTCTACAGAGGGAGGGGGACAAGGCGGAGGTGACTGACCAAGAACCTGTTGAAGGAGTGGAACAAAGTACGGCCGCGGCTAGGAGGTGCCCCCTGCAGCAGTAGAGACAGCACCAGAACCTCCAGCAGCTCCAGCAGCACCCTCAGCACCTCCAACGCCCGGGTCTGCAGCACCAGCAGCAGCTCCAACGCCCGGGTCCGCAGCACCAGTAGTAACCCCAACGCTAGGGTCCGCAGCACCAGCAGTAGCTCCAACGCCCTGGTCTGCAGCACCAGCAGCAGCTCCAATGCCCGGGTCCGCAGCACCAGCAGTAGCTCCAACGCCCGGGTCTGCAGCACCAGCAGCAGCTCCAACGCCCAGGTCCGCAGCACCAGCAGCAGCTCCAACGCCTGGGTCTGCAGCACCAGCAGCAGCTCCAACGCCCGGGTCCGCAGCACCAGCAGCAGCTCCAACGCCCGGGTCTGCAGCACCAGCAGCAACTCCAACTCCAGGGTCCGCAGCACCAGTAGCAGGGTCCACGACACCAGGAGCGCCACTCCTGAGACTGCAGCGTCGTGCGTACCACTCACGAATATGTTGGGGAGAGGGCAGCTCCCGCCTAGGCGAGGAAGCACGAGCACCAGCTCCAGCAGCACCCCGAGCTCCAGAATTACCTCTCCTGAGGCTGCAGTACTGTAAGTACCACTCACGCAGCTGCTGTGAGGAGAGAGCTCTTCCAGGCGTAGCACTCCCAGGCTCAGCATCCCCAGACTCAGCACAAGCAGGCTCCGTTCTCCCAGGCTCAGCACCCCTAGACTCTGCACCCCCAGGCTCATTACCCCTAGACTCTGCAACCCCAAGCTCCGCACGCTCAGGCTCAGCACCCTGAGTAGGACGAGAGTCGACAGCTACCTCGACAAGCTCAACCGGGTCTACCTGGGACACACCTGAGGGAGCGGCACCCTGAGGGGGGAGGGGGTCTACTACAGTAGCACCTGGCGCAAGGAAGAGAGGCGGGGGAGGGAGCGGGGCAGTGCGGTAGGGGAAGAGGCGGTAGAAGGGTACCGACTCGTCAAAGGTGACGTCCTGAGAGGCAAGGACACGGTGCGAGGTAGGGTGGTAAAACTGCCAACCAGACGCGTCCGGAACAAAGCGTAGGAAGACACACGGAACAGCGCGGGAGGAAAGCTTGTCCGCGGACGTATCGCGAACAAAAGCTCGAGATCCCCAGACCCGAAAGGTGCACTCTGAACGTCTCATGCATCTCTCTCTCCAACATGCTGGACCTTTTACCCCACATTGCGCTCTCTTCTTCCCAATCACTCAAAACTCTTCATTTTACTCCACTCCACGCCACTCAACTCCATCCAACCCTCCGCTCTGCACTCCTCTCGCAAGGAAGGCAACATCTTATGGGTATCCAACTCTCTCTTAAGCGTCCTTCCTGGTGTTTTGCATATCTCCTTCCATCCATCCTCTTCCAATGTCCTCCTCCATTCCCATCCTCAACCTTATCCTAGCCTTCCAATGTTGACTCACTCTCTATGTGACGGAAGACGCAAGACTTGCGTCTAGCGTCTAGATGCTAGACGCTAGACACGTGTTTAGACGCTGGACGCTTGGGTAAAAAAAAATCGGTCAGCCCGGAAAAAAAAATATCGCGCGGCTGAATTTGAATTTCACGACTTCGATGCATCATTCGATTTCGTGACATGTGCACACCCTCCCACCGATGAGTGGGAGGGGCAGGAGGAGGAGGAGGAGGAGGAGGAGGAGGAGGAGGAGGAGGAGGAGGAGGAGGAGGAGGAGGAGGAGGAGAGGTAGGAGGAGGCCTTGTGATTGCAGGGATGTAGTAGTAGCTGTTTACTTTGTGTTTGCTACTACTAGAGAGACGTGGTTCCCTAACTATGTATGATGAGAAATGAGGATTATTGCGAACTCTAAATATGGGGAAAAGATTTGGTACGGTGAAAATTTGACCCAAATGTGCCATATGTGCATGTCCCCCACCCTCCCCATGGCCCTCATAAGTTTTTTTAGGCTGCCCGAACATTTGTTTTAGGCCTGCCTAGGTTTTCGTCTAATATGCGTCTAACCTAGCCGGAAATGCGTCTAGCGTCTTAGACGCTGCGTCTAGTCGCAACCGTCTAAGACACTAGACGCGTCTTTCGTCACATAGCTCACTCTCCCTATCAGCACCTCAGCCTGACCGCATCATCTCTTCTTGCCGCCTTGTCTCTTTGCCAGCCCTGCTGCCCACTTTGCCAACCTCTCCTTCACTCTTCGCCTGCCACTCTCTCGTGCCTCTACGTTTCGCTAACGCCTCGTTGCTTTATATGATGCTTCTCCTTTCGCCTGCAGTCTCGTTCCCGTATGCTCGAATCGCATGCCGCATCCTCAGTCTGGCACTGTCCAAAGCCTAATCGCATCCAGACCCCGCTGTTTCTTTTTCCTCCTGCACTGCATGTTCCCTCCTACCCACGCCTTCCATCCTCTGTTCCTGCTGCCCCGCTCCTTCCACTGCTCCTGCTCCCCCCCTCTTCCATTGTTCCTGCTGCCCCACTCCTTCGACTGCTCCTCCTGCCCCACTCCTTCCACTGTTCCTGCCGTACCATCAGCCATGGCTCAGATGACTGTAGTGGCCATGCTGCTGCCAGGGCTGCTCGTGGCTTTCCTTCTTAGTGCTGATTGGTTGTTTTGAGATGACCACGTAATATACTACCACGCATTTGCAACCCTACGAAAGCCGTCGCTTCCCCTCTACTCTGAACTGTACGGCTGTGCCTGAGTGCAACGAAGTGTACATGCTAGCATCTGCGAATCTCCAAGCATGAATCTGTTTTACGTTTGAATATCCAACCCTTCCCTCCCCAATCCGGAACAACCTTTCAAATCACCGTGCCGCAGTGCGGTCAAACGTACACGTAAGTGGTTGGCGACACGTGCGACGCGATCGCCACCAAATACAACATCGCGCTCAGCACTTTCATGAGGTACACTTTGTGGGTCCACGACTATGCAGGTTCTTCGTTCTCGTTGTTTCCCAAAGCTTGTAAATGTGTGTGCTTCCTGAGGTTTGTCAGCTTATTATTTGGCAGCTCGTGATGGTTAAGCACTTCCTCTAGGTTTTTTTTTTTTTTTTTTTTTTTTTTTCAGCCATTGAATCCCCACAAGTCGTCGCCTCAGCCAGCCTCACATTCTCACTCTCATCTTCCCTCACTTCCTTGCTCTCCCCATCAGCCTCAACCTGGTGCTGTCCTACGACACTGACCTCAAGATCGGACTCTACCTCTGCGTTGCACCCAAGACCCCTCTGGTAAACACCCATTTCACTTCAAGTGAGGGAAGATGAGAGTGAGAATGTGAGGCTGGGTGAGGCGATGACTTGAGGGAATTCAATGGGAAAAAAAAAAAAAAAAAAAAAAAAAAACAACCTAGAGGAAATGCTAAACCATCACGAACTGCCTAATAAGCTGACAAACCTGAGTATTGCAGGAAAACCTTAGGAAGTAGGCTTGAGCAAGAGGCGAACACATTTGTGGTCCGGACAGGCTGTCGTCCAGACCTGAGTCCCAAACGTCCGGACGGGGCTCCGTTCGGACGATTTGGGGGCTCCGTCTGGACATTTGACCAAAACGGAAAAAGTTACACGCCCTTAGCCAAAAACGGTGTTTGCTGTTCATCTGTGAAGGCGATCACCTTGCTGACGCAGGCGAACACGAACGTGTTCGTGGCAAACACGTTCGTGTTCGCCCCGTGTCCTTGCCCTTGAGATGCGGGGGCAGGGAGAGGGTTGGGAGAGCCACACGGGTGCTGTTGCAGTTGGAGCGGGTGTTAGGTAGTTTACACAATGATGGACTGCGGAGGTGGAAGCTGGCAGAATAGCAGCATGTATTAAGTCACACGATGATGCTGGTGATGGTGTAGTGCGGTGGGCGAGCAACATCGCAGTGGCCAGGCTGCAAATGGCCCTGATGGAATAAGCACTGGTCAGAAGCATCTTTGGGAGATTCTAGGGGATTCTTATTTTCCAGCCTCCAAGAGATGCGGGATTTTGTGGTGTTCATTTCAAGTGCATCTATGAGTGATTGAAGAGTGTTTTATCTGCATCCCCACAGCCCCATACACACTTGTCACACTCTTCCATCCCCACCTCTCCTCCCCCCCTCTCCCTTCACCCCCTCAACCTGGCCGTCCTACTCGCTCTGAGCTGCCTCTCCCTCATCTTCCCTTGCTTTATCCCTCCTGCAACCACCCCCTTTGACCATCTCCCTGACACCTGGACCCAATGTTGGTGCTTGGTATGCAGCATGAGCCGCCAGCTCCTGCACTGCACTGCACCCCCGGTCACCCCTGGCTACTCTCCTGCTCCTCCGGTACCCTCCATAGAGGCCCTCCAGCACGATATGGCTCTCGGGTGCGCCTCTCTTGTGCTCGCCCCCAGTGAATTACCTCTGTTGCCTTGTGTTGTCCTCCTCCTTTTCCTCTCTCCCGTCCTTTCTCTGTTTCCCGCTCTTTCCCATGCCTGCCCCCATTGATGTTCTTGGCATTTTACCTGTTCCCCTCCCCTCATCCCTCCCGTGACCCATCCTTCTCGCTCACACTCAGCTAATGTGCTTCGGTCCATCGGCGTGCTCATGCACGCCTCCCTTGCTGCCCTGCTTTCAAATCCTCCCCCTCCCCCACCCCCACCGGTTTCTCCCCTCTTCCGCTACTCCGCGTCCTTCCCAATTTCTCCCCGTTTGAAACAGCTCATACGCATTGGCCCTAACAGTGTTGTCGTGGGCACGTGGCACGGCCTAAAGGAGACATTGAGGCAGGAAGAGAGCAGGTGAGGCGAGGCAAGGAGGCAACAGAGGCGGCAAGCGACGCCAGGAGCATGTTCCTCAAGAGTACGAGGCACAACGCACACCCCTATGAGTGTGAGTCGGGTGGGTGGGCGGATGGGTGGCGGCGATGCATGCATGTGCATGGCATGTGCATGGTGTGTGCATCATCATGTGCATGGTGTGTGCATCATCATGTGCATGGTGTGTGCATCATCATGTGCATGGTGTGTGCATCATCATGTACATGGTGTGTGCATCATCATGTGCATGGCATGTGTGGTGCCATATGGCACCACTTCATGGTCGAAATGGAAGGTACCATTCTTTCTTTCCACACATCAGGTAACAACCACCTTCCTCTCATCTTTACCGTACGTTCTCTATCCCTCCTCTTACCTTCCCCTTCTCCTCTTGTTCCCTCCCCATTCCCTCCACTTCCCCTCTCCATTCCCTTCCCATACCATCCTTTCCCCCTCTTGTCACGTGCACCTGAATCAGCTCCGACCAGTCCAGGGTAGAGGGAGTCAAGGAGGTCAACCTAGCCTAACAAATGCACACCTACAATTACCCTGAATCTTACTTTGGCACAATTGAATCCTTCTCATGTAAGAGAAACCTTTTTGTTTTCCGTAACCATGCATTATCAATATCAAATCATACACTGCATGCGGATTTTATTCAACCCTGAATATCATGCAAACACAAACAATCCCCTCCTTTTACCCCTATGACTGTACCATTTTTTAAACAGACTGCTCAGCTTTACCCTCCTCACTCTTGTTAAGGACCAATTAACACTGAACATCGTTGTGTGCAGCGATCCCGGCGCCAAAAATACACCCATTTTCCTGTCACTACGCACTGCTTCCGCCAGGCGACAATACACAGCATAACCCACAGAAAAAACCGCATCCAGCTCTTGCCGCGAGCAGTAGTGGTGCCTCCACCTCACATTATCCCACGTGCGTTTCCGTGCCAGTACACTTGCTCTTCTTTGTAATATCTGCCTGTTGAGGCACTTGGCCGAGTACTGTGGATTTTCGATAGGAAGCTGCTGCCCATACTGGATGAACCGCCAGTCAAAGAAAGAATGGAAGAGGAAGAGGGGCGTGGAGACCCGTGTAAGGGTGTGTTCAGGGAAGAAGCAGACCCAGTTGTCACTCTCTTGTGATCCTGAGGCGGACGGAAGCAGGAAGGAAGGGGGTGTGTGTGGAGGGGGTGGGGGGAGGGGGGGGTAGGAGAGCAACATCATGATGACGCAGTGACTGGGAAGAAGCAGACCCAGTAGTCCCTCGCTTGTGCACCTGATTGGGAGGGAAAGGAGGAGAGAAAAGGAGAGCCTCTCGAGTAGCTTCAGAAGAGGGAGAGGAGGAATTCTTACTGAGATGTGGCCCTCCTATGGAAAAACCAGAGGCGGGTCCAAAGAGTGCGCAGATCAACCACCACCCACCCACCCATCACCCTTGAAAGGACAATTGTCTATGGTTGTTTTCACATGTTTTCACCTGGTAGGTGGTATCTTCATGCTGTTTTTACCTGCAGGGCATTTGGGAACTTGAATGAGGTGCAGAGCAGTGAGCTGCCGAATTGATTCCCGCCACGAGTACACCCCAAAGCGGTCCTTGGCGTCTGCATGGGAAGGGGGGGGAAAAAGGGAGGGGCAAGGGCGAGGGAGGTGGGGGAGAGGGGGGGAGGAGGGAGGAAGAGCAGGGAAGGAAGCCTTTCGGTGAACAAGGCTACAACTGACATGACTCAGAAGGGGGAATTGTGCCTACTGGTTTCCAGAGACTGCTCGCCAAAAAAGAAGGCAAAGTTGGAAAGTGGAGAAAATTTACCAACAAAGCACAGTGGTTAACGGTGCATGAAGCTCACCAAGAAATACAGGGTAGGTGAGCATCAAAGAACCCTGCTCTCACCCTCATGCTCACAGCGCTCACCAACGAAGAAGCCCGAGTCGGCAAGGCAGCTGGCTTTGGCGTGGGGGAAGGCAGCAGCGAGGCGGTCGCAGTGCATAATGATGGCAAGGCCGCCCGCTGAGCTACCCGAGAAGAGGACATGCGATGCCGCCCCCATGCCCCTCTGCGTGCACAGATCTGCAAGATGAATGGTGAGAGGGGAGGGGAAGGGTGGTGAACGGCAAGAGGGGGACAGATCAACCACGCCCCATCTCCTCCTCCTTCCACCCTCCCCCTCCTGTTCAACTATATCCCCTCTCCGCCTCCTATTCCCTGCATGTAGACAGATAAAACCACACCCCACTTACTCCTCCTTTGCACTCTTCCCCATGGCCCCCAACGCCTTCCTTATCCTTCCCCCTTCCCCTCCCCACCCACCAGTGGTTATATGATCTACAATCTGCTGCCCACCAGTTATAATATCATCTAGAATCTGCCGCCCCTGCATGTACACCGATGCGCCCTCCCCCAGGTCCGCCCTCCCCCGCGTGCTGCTGTAGGCGCCACCGTCACAGTACACCACCCACACCAGGTTCCACCCGTGGAACAAGGGGTTGGTTGCGCTGTCCTGTGATAGGAGCCCGCCCAGCTGTGGATACGACTCGGATGCCTGAGGACAGGGCACGGTGGGGAGGGGTCGGGTGGAGTTGGGTGGGTTGCACTGCGGTGGAATGCCTTTCTCAGGCGCCTCCGTCCGGTCACAGCACAGCACACGAGCCACACCAGGTCCACACGTGGAGCTCGGGTACCAGGTTATGACTCGCTGTTTGTTGAACCGTTCTGGTTGGAAGCTGGAATCTGGCGATTTTGTGTGACAGTGGCAACTAAGTTACTCACCGAGTACCGCCAGCCAGTGCTGGAGCGTCACTCTCCAGCGTCACTCTCCAGCGCCACTCTCCAGCGCCACTCTCCAGCGCACGCAGCTGCAGGCCAATGCTGTCCGCTCCGAGACCAATGAGACCTACCTATCTTTTACTATCCTATAATGAATACAAGGACCAATCGAGAGAGTGAGAGAGAAAGAGGCAGCGCACCCACAGATGGCAGCGGACCCCTGGCCGCTGCACCTGGGGGACATCCTCCACACGCTGGAGGGCTAGAGGGTCACTCGGGGGGGGGGGGAGAAGAGGGGTGAGTTAAGGGGCTTGAGGGATGGAGGTTATCATGGATAGCACTGCATGTTTTGTACCTCTGCTGAATCAATACGAAGGACCGTTTGAGAGAGAGAGAGAGAGAGAGAGAGAGAGAGAGAGAGAGAGAGAGAGAGAGAGAGAGAGAGAGAGAGAGAGAGAGAGAGAGCATCTCATCTGTGACTCACATTGTTGATCTTTCCGCCGTTTTCAACAACGCCAGGCAGGCGCGTGGCCCAGAAGCGCGAGGAGCCAAGGGGGGAGTTGGCGCGCTCGCGGCACTCGAGCGGCGAGAAGCACCAGCCGCCCTGGGGCAGATGCACGTGCCACTTGTGCCTCCCCGCGCCCGCCCCAGCGCGGAAGTAGTACGCGGGGGTACTTCGGGGGGCAGTGGGTGGGTGGGTGGTTGAGGAGGAGAGGAGAGGGAGTGGGGGAAGGGAGGGGATGGAGGGGTGGAGGAAAGGAATTGTGAGGGAATCGATTGGACGTATGGGAGAGGAGGAATGGCGGGTCGAAGGAAAAAGACCTAGTAGAAGGTCCAATCATAAAAAAAAAGGAGTTAATGTTACTTAATCAACCGACCAAGGTACGCACCTTCCGTCGAGGCATTTTGAGCTGTACTCGTTATCAGGTAGGAAGACGAGGCGCGTGACTGATTTAAACCGGTTCGCTCTCTCCGCTCCGCAAAGGGATACGGGATACACGACTAACAGAGCGAGCAGCAAGGGAAGAACAGTTTGAAAGGAGGGGCAAGCAGAGATCGCGAGGAGCAGCATGATGCGCCTAGCAGCACGTGGTTGGTTGCAAGCAGGTCAACCAGTCAACACAGGTCAAGGGGGTCAAGCGAGTCAAGTCGCGTCGAGCCGATGCAAAAGGTAAGATTGTCAGTGGCTCTGGCATGGCATCATGCCGATCCCGCGTTCCCGCTGCGTCAAAATGTCTCCCTTGTATGCGGTTCAGTGAAATGCTTGGAGTTTTGAAGCGAATCAATGCTTTGCGTTCCAGATAATCTAAAAATAGTGAGTCAGTGCTTGAAACCTACGAACACTGCACGTGCCCCTATTGGTTGAATGATCTGTCGAACGGGAGAAGTAACAACAGAGCAAGGAAGCAGAGGGCATCGTTGGTTGGTGAGCAAGACACAACTTTGAAAAAAATAGAAGGTGGATCGTTAAATGCGGGGAGGGAGATGGAAGAGGGGGAGGGAGGTAGTGGACCAAGAGGGTGCAGGAGAGAGAGTGCGAGCAAACCAAAACTCCTCTGCCTTTTCTTCGGTTGAGTAGGGTAGGGTAGAGTTGGCTGGGGTTGGTTACTATCGCTATCTGGGCCAACCCGAAAACGGGAGTTTTTCACGGCTGGGTGGATGTGCGCTTCCATTCATACAACGGATGGTACGAACGAACATGTCATCAATATGAGCGAATGCACTTGTACGAATGAGTGAGAATGTTCCAGAGACGTTAATATGTGGGTATTGTCACTTAAACCACACTCATCGTTCTAGGCCCAGATGCGCCAAGGCACGGCTCAATCGCCCAAGGCATCAACGCCCATGGCGCTACTGCCGCCAGCGCACTAGGTGCATACGTTGTAGGGTCAACGCCCAAAAGCACAAATGTGCCCAAGGCACCAGCACCTAAGGCGTGAGCGCCCTAGGACCAACGCGCTAGCACCAATGACTAAGGCGTGCACAAGAGGACTAAGGAAGACTCGCCAATACCTAAGGTGCTACCGCTTAAGGCGCCAGTGCTCTAGGCGCCAACGCTCATGGAGCAAGCGCTGTTAGGCGCCAGCGCACTAAGCGCCAGCGCACTGGGCGTCAGCACCTTAGGCGCCAGCGCGTAGGCGCAGCGCGTTAGGCACAGCGCGTTAGGCACCATTGCAATAGGTGCCAGCGTGTTATGCGCCAGCGAGCTAAGCGCCAGCGCCTTAGGGACCACCACCAGCACTTGCGTGGGAATGCGTCAGGCGCCAGGGCGAGAGCCATTAGTGTTTTGGGCGATGGTGGGGAGGCATGTATACGAGAATGCGATAAACAGAGGGTCGGGAGCATTCGAGGACTCCAAAAAATCGGCGAAGTGAAGAAGAGTAACAATCGAGGGTAGATGCTGGTGGCGAATGATGGTATGACGAGACCAGCCTTACCTGTTTTAGGGTTTCCAAGAGTAAAACGTAGTGCTGAGAGACTAGCGCATGCACTTGGCTCTGACCTCCGCAACAGGCGCCGGAAACGCCAAGCGACTGAAACGCGCGATTGTGAATCTTACTGGAGAGGATACGACGGCTTTGGAAACATGGGAAGCGAGAGAGCAGGTGTGAATCTCTCTCTTAACGAGGGGTAGAAAAAGGGAAAGATAGCGTGACGGGAGGAGGACTAGCAGGATGACTGGTATTAGCTGCTACGCGGCGCGCTGTGCGATAACTAGTGCTTCTCTGGCAACTAGGATTCTGCGATGAGCGCG